CACTGTCCCTTCTCAAACTTGGGTTCCCTATTACCAGCTTTCTTGTCCCCTCCTGCCTTCTAGTCCTTTTCCCTGGACTGTTGTGCCCCATTAGTCTTGTTCTGTTTTATGGGGCTGTCTTAGCTTTGGCTGAATGGTGAACCTTGGGAGTGACTTCATTACTGAGCTAAAAGGGTGTCTGGGGGCCATACTCTTGGGGTTTCTCCAGTATCTGTCAGGCCAGCAAGTCTGCTCTTCTTTTGTGAGTTAGAATTTTGTTCTGTATTTTTCTCCAGCTCTGTCCGGGATCCTCTGTTGTGATCCCAGTCAGAGCAGTCAGTGGTGGTAGCCAGGCCTCATCTAGTTGTACTGGACTCAGTCTGGTGGAGGCCTTGGTAGCTGTGGTCCATTAGTCCTTTGGACTAATCTTTCCCTTGTATCTTGTTCTCCTCATTCTCCCTTGCTGCCAAAGGGAAGAGACCAGTGGAGTATTTTAGATGGCCACTCACAGGCTTTTAAGACCCCAGACACTACTCACCAAGGTAGAATGTAGAACATTTTCTTTATAAACTGTGTTATGCCAATTGAGCTAGATGTTCCCCAGGACTATGGTCCCCACAGTCCTCTGCCCAGCAATTCAGTCCCTCAGGAAGTTTGGATGTGTCTGTGAAGCTTCCATAATCTTTCCTTGTACAAGCTGTGCTGGCTTCCAGCTTGGAGAACATTTTAATTGTGACTTGGCCTTTTGCTGCTACTAAGGCATATGCAAAATGGTAGAATAGGCATTTTATTTTTGGTGCCGTCCTATCTTTATTTCTGCAGGCTTCACGCACTCCATGATGCTGTATTTATATTACCGTAGAGCATCCAAGCACCATGTTTGTTGCCTTCTGGTAATGGAAGACTCTCACTGTGGTACCCCCACTCAAGGCTACTGGATTAAAATATTTATTTCCTTTTGAATTTTATTCTCATCTAGGTATTGGGAGGAAATATTCTAACCATATAATTAAAGGTATTCACAGTAAGCTGTGATAGGCTTAAACTCTTCTCTCTTGCCTCAGGAAAAATAATGGAATAACCAAGTTGGTGACATGAGGATTTTCATTGCCAGTAGAGAATAGTTTAATGTGGCCTTTTTGAAGAAAATATTGATGTGATGCTACCAAGTATAAGTGAAAAAAGAAAAATATTCTTCAAGCAACTTTTGAGTCTTTGATTTACTCTTAATTTATAGAGTTTATTTTTCCTGAGTTAGTCATTTAGTTTTCATGTGACCAAATACATAGGAGTCAAGCTAGAGGCTTGTAGGTTATAATTCATAGTATGAAAGGTTATAATTCATAGAATGAGAGCTTCAAAAAAGGGGCCAAAACTCAACCTAAGTTATTAGTAAAGCCCTTGCCATGAGCAGATTCTGACTCATTAGTAGTGGCTGAATACTATGATTACCAATAATGGAGGAATACTAGATACTGAAATATGTGGGAACAGCCGTTGCTCCCATCTCCATTTCCTGTAATTACTCACTTGAGTCATGAATAGTAAGTCATCATGAAATAAAAATGAGATGACTGTTATCCACAAATGTAAACTAAGAGAGATGACAAGAGCACAAAAAAAGGTAGCCTGGGAAGTTTAATGTGGTCAGTAGCGGAAGTTTACTGTAGAAAGTCTAAAGAACATCCCATGACTGGTTTACCTGATGCCAACAACATCCATTTTTTAATCAGAAATACAGTGAATTAAGTGAATTTCTAGTCTCTTTGGTAAAAACGAGTTTATGTATAGAATTTTCCGTAAGTTAACACTATCAGTAATTTAGAAATAATTTAACAAAATAATCATAAAAATGTCTTTAGTGCTCGTTGTTGTGTGTTGTCGAGTTGTTTCTTACTCATAGTGACCCTATATGACAAGAGTAGAACTGCCCCATGGGGTTTCCTAGGCTGAATTTTTATGGGAGCAGATCACCAGGTCTTTTTTCCTGCAGAGCCGCTGGTGGGTTCAGACAGTCAACCTTTCAATTGGCAGCTGAGTGCTTAACCATTGTACCACCAGGGATCTTTCTTCAGTGTTAGTCTGGCCTTCAACCTTTCCATAACCAGCCAATAATTTCTTTTCTATCCACATCCAGTAACTTTTTCTTCAGCATTCTGAACTATCACCAAAGTAGATGCCTCATGCCCGTCCATCCCTGAGCTTTTGATTACTCTGCTTGGAATACTCTCTCTCCCTACCGCCATTTCCACTTTGGCTGTGGCTGCTTGGTACTCGAAGGTCCACTCGAGTAACACCTTTTCCTAGAGACATCCCTTTGAGGATGAGTTAGTACTCTTCCTCCATCCTTGTTATTCTCTTTATATTTTTGTAGCCTCTTGTGAAAATCTGCATGATAACCCTTTTTAACTCCGCTGTAATAATTGATTTTCTCACTCTTTCTCACTACACTGAGAACAACTTAAAGCCAAGGATGCGTCTTGTTCATTTTTGTATCCCTAGCACTTAAAGCAGTGTCTTGCACATAGCTAGGGTTCAAAAAGATGTGTGCAAGGAATAAGTGTTCAAAAGTTCACATCCTGCTCATCCTTAAAGGCCCAGCTCAGATATTGATTCCTTCACAAAGTCTGCCTTGGCTTCCTTAGGTGAAAGCAAAGTCTCCCTCTATACAATCTTGATAGACTTTTTGTGTACCTCTTTTGTAATAATTTTCATGTTCTAGTTTGTTTCATTGCTCTTTAAATAAATGCTTTATCTACGTGCAAAAAACCCAAACCTGTTGCTGTCAGGTCGATTCTGATTCAAAGCAACCCTATAGGACAGAGTAGAACTGCCCCGTAGGGTTTCCAAGGAGTGGCTGGTGGATTCGAACTGCCAACCTTTTGATTAGTAGCTGAGCTCTTAACTACTGTGCCACCAGGGCAGATTGTAAACTCTTTACAGGTAAATTTCATGTTTAATTCATTCTTATTAAACTTTTAAAAAGTTTATATTTATTTTCTGTTTCCTACAGTAGTAGCTAGATTACTTTGAACATAGTTGTTCCCAAGAACATTCTTCTTGGGAAGAATCAAAGACAAGTGAAATTTATAGCCAAAAAGATTGGATGAATGCTGGCATCATTAATTGAGGATAGAATAACTGGTCTTGGGAAAGGATAGGAAGAGAAAAGAAATCTGATGTTGAGTTTGAGATGCCTTGGTGCACCACATAGTAATATCTAGAAAGGAGATGGATGTATGAATCTGGAACACAGAAGAGAGATGGAGACTGGAGATATTTGTCTTATAAGTTGAATCAATGGTAGTGAAGGCTTTTAGTCAAGGGAAGAATGTAGAACAAGAAGATGTAGGATATAGCAGGGAATAGCAAAACTGTACTATCCATGCTGCTCTGGATAAAATGCTTAAAATCTTATGCTTTGGTATCCTCATTTGTAAAATGGGTGATAATATTAACCTTCCTGGTTGTGAAGATTAAACAAGATAATATATGTTAAGTGCCTAGAACAGTACCTGGTCTGTGGTAGGTTCTCAACAAATAATTGCTTTAGAGTGACAAGTATACACTGTATTAATGATTTTGAGATGGCAACACGTTTTTGGGCACAGGGGAAAGAATATA